TTGATTTGTATGTGCACTGAAAAGTGCATTTTAACACCATAAATTACTTTCAAAATCATGGTTCTTATTTCTGAGATAATGAAATGTGTTTGTTACAAGGATTGAGCCAAATTTCTCTCAATTCATATTCAGTTAAGTTATTTGCTGCAGTGATTGGTTGGATTGGAGTTGCAGCTGAATTGGTTGCGGAGTGCTCCACACTATCGACTGACCTTCATTTTCCTAATCTGATTCAAGGGCCTAAAGATAGAGGGTGTACACTACAGATTAGAAAGCCCTACAAGTGAGCTATGACTTTATGAGCTATTGTATAAATACAATAAACTTGACTTTGATTCAACGGAAAACAGAGGCCGAGGCAGAAGAAAACGACAACGTCAGCAGTGCAGAGATCAAAGTCGATATGAGCTGTGGAGCTTCTCTCTTTTTTATGTCAAATACTCAGGAAAGGAGGTTATTTGGTAATAAATCTGCCCCAAATCATCTTATGACACGTTTATGCAATAAACAGCTCCTGTAGCTAACAACTCAACAGTCACGAGCACATACACAAAACACTGTTTACCAGTAGTCCGGACAACAGCACAGATCTGTTCTGAGAGCTGACCACAGCCTCACTCCGCCAAAACCACAATGATGTAAGACTCATCACCGGACTGTGTGAACACAGCAGCTATCTGAATGGGAGGCATTAGTAATGCAGCGTTCACCGTCTCTGAAGTCTGATTTCACAGAGTGTGATGCTGAACGTGAGAAAAATCTCCTTGACATAGCTACTGTAGCTATCTGTAAGCTGAAACTGGCTCGCTGTCCTGTGGAACCCAGGAAGCTCCAAATCGGTCAGCTCTTAATGAGCTAAGAAAAACAACCAGTCAGATAACTTCCTCCCTCAGTTAATGAAAAATTCCAAATGATCAAATACAGTTTTTTTATTGCTGCTACCATCAGAGTAGCGGCAGTAATAGTACTAATCCAGTAAAACAAGCAACAAAGAGCAATGTTAACACAATTTATAAAACTTTTCACAGACAACAATTCCAGTACACCCACCCTGCTCTCTGGGATTACTGGGCTTGGGTTGACAACTCTTGCTTCATTTGTGAATCCGACACTGTGGCTCAGATGATACAACTACAAAGCCAAATCATTTTTTTGCATCTGTGCTAAATTGAACATTTGGATGGAGTGAGTCACCCCTGGCAGGAAGCAGTTGAAGAGAAAAAAAGAACTTAGTGAAGTGCAAGTCCACACACACAGGTTCAGATCAGGAAACAACAAGCTCTCATATCCATGTCTGGGTGAAACTGCAACCTTCTACAGCCAACAAAACATCTATAAAGTGTAATATTGGCAAGAGGGTACTCATGACGAAGGGAGAACGAGTTCTTTCTTTAAATCAAATCAAATCAAATTTTATTTGTATAGCACCAAATCACAACAAAAGTCATCGGGTCTAGACCTTACTGTTATCATTATTATTACAGAGGAAAAACCCAACAGATCCCCCTTGAGCAAGCACGTGGCAACAGTGGGGAGGAAAAACTCCCTTTAAGAAACCTCCGACAGACCCCGGCTCTTGGTGGGCGGCCTTCTGCCTCGACCGGTTGGGGTGAGTGGATAGAGGAGAGACAAAAAAAGAAGAAAAGCAACAAGACACAACAATCAAACACTGATCAGGTTGATGTGGCTGGTGACTGCTCGTCAGAGACGTAGAGCTCCAGGGCCAGGGCAACCTGCAGAAAGGTACAGGGAGAGAGAGAGGACACACTACGGGAGAGAGGAGACACAAAGTTAGTAATGTGTAATGGTGGCATATAGAAGCATAGGGAGAGAGAGGAGAGGAGAGGAGAGCAGAGCAGAGCAGGAGGGGAGGGGAGAGAAACTCAGAGCATCATGGGGCCCCCCAGCAGCCTAGGCCTATAGCAGCATAACTAAGGGAAGGCGCAGGGTCACCTTATCCAACCCTAACTATAAGCTTTATCAAAAAGGAACGTCTTAAGTCTAATCTTAAAGGTAGAGAGGGTGTCTGCCTGATGATAAGGCTCTACGAGGTCTTTAAGATACGATGGAGCCTTGTTATTAAGGGCTTTGTATGTTAGGAGAAGGATTTTAAATTCTATTCTGAATTTTACAGGGAGCCAGTGGAGAGAAGCTAATATGGGAGAGATATGATCTCTCTTGCTAGTTCCTGTCAGTACTCTGGCTGCAGCATTTTGGATTAACTGGAGGCTTTTTAGGGAATTATTGGGACATCCTGATAGTAGCATCTTTCTAGAGCGTAACATGTTGAAGTAAGGAGTTGACGTTTTTGATAACTTGAGGTCGGCGAGCGCTCAGCCTCAGCACACCGTTTTCTGTTCCTTATCAGATTCTGTAACCTTCAGGAAATGTGCGCAATATGTCCTGGAAAACATTTATTTAACTGATTGTAACTGAATGATCTAGAACTAATATTATTCTCACTGTTGTTTTTGCTTTAGCTCCTACAGCTGCAGCACACCTCAGGCCAAATATCACTGGGGTACTGACAACATGTCTCCAAGAGGCAAGTATCACAGGAGACATGTCCTGATTACACACTAGTCTAGGGTGAAAGAGTATGTCCATGGTGATCAACTGAAAAAATCAGACAGTGTTGCAACAATGCACTCGTCATTTCAGCACTGACATACTGATAGATGTTATTCGAACTATACTGTCTGTGGGTTTGCCTTTCGTTGCCCCTAATCCTTTTACAGACATACTACAAGCTCAGGTTTGGACTTGTGCAAAACTGCATCCTCAGTTCTAGGAGAACTTGGGAGATGTGCTGAAATCCAGGCTGGTAATCCCTGTTGTTGCAGCAGTTTGTTTGTCCATCGCCTGCTCATACATTTGCCTATCAGTGTTTCTGTGCCAGGTGCTCCACCACTCTGTCTTTGGCTCATTCAGCATTAAGATTCAATGTGCAACTCTATCAGGACAGGGGCACAAGTGTGTGTGACCTCTGTCATCTCAGTGAGATTAGTGTGCCTTTCTCTTTCTCTCTCTTTAAGCACATTCACTTTCTCCCCACAGATTGATAATAACAACCAGCTGCACACACACCTGGTATGTAGTGAGCACTGCTGACTCCCTGCTCAACCTGCTGTAACTGTACTGAGGCCGTGTCGTCCTATGTTTGGATCTTGCTGTATGATATTAGGCTGACATTATTACATCCTCCTATTTTAAAACCTCCTGCAATTCACCATCTCTAATTGCCAGAAAACACACACAGGGTAGTTCATAAAAGACATTTTTGAGAAATGTTCACATCCAGTGACCACATCACTGTGGGAAATATGCTGTAACATGTAGCATGTAACACTATGCATACACTTCTAACAAGAAGACCTGCAAGTGACAGGCTGGCATCAACCACCCTGCTACAAAAAATGAGCACACACACTCTTGTATCTACTGTGTCGTCTGTCCCACAATGATCAGACACAGCGACCACTTGCGATTTTCCTGTGCGGCCCCTCTGAATGCTGCAATTTAGCCCCCAGTCAACACACGAGCTGGACACAATCATGAAGTATGTGTGTTTGTGTGAGTGTTATCTGCTTTGACAAACCCTGAGTGCAGACTGAAGTGTGATGACATCAACCAAAAGTCCCCATAAAACAGTTCAAGGTTTGTACAATATGAAGCATCAGCAAAAGGTTCTGCTGATTTTTCACAACTGTGACTGCCTCATTCAGCATTTGAGCATCTAAGTCAGGGATGGGGGGTGGGGCAAAACAAACACACTTAACAATGACTAATGCATGCAATACCCTGTCAGTCTAGACGTCCGATCACACAGACTAGACGTGCATTACAAATGTTAAATGTTATAGTCACTGCATTGCAATCAGTTTGTTGTTGCATATCCATGGTGATGAACAGTGCGTAAGGGACGCGACGTCGTACAGGAAGCAATGAGGAACATGGAAGGTCTTTCCATAGGCTGACAGGCAGAGACTGGGGGTGAACATTAAAGGGGTCATGTTACACTCGTTTTCAGGGGTCTACTACATGTTTATAAGTTCATATAACTCATTCGAGTCCATATCTGCAGCACCTCTTTTCACCCTCTGCCTGAAATGCTCTCTTTGGTGTCTTGTCTCTTTAAGGCCCCCTCCCAAAAACCTGTTCACCTCAGCGTTTGGACTTTTGGCTGTGTTTACCATGGACAGCCTACATCACAACAGTATATGAATGAGACAAAATCACAAAAAGCTCCCGTCACATACAACTCACCTCCAGTTAATGATGGAATAAGCTCCCCAGTTCTATGGGAAAATCACATTTATTTATCAGAGGCTTGTTTGGAACAAACGGTGGAAGCAGCGGGCACCATGTGCGAGCTCAGACAGTGGCTGACTGAACACATATGTGATCTTCATTGCCAGAAAAGTGAAGGAAAAAGATGTCGAAGCAACTGGGACAGAGTTACAACAGCCTCTGGGTGGTGAAGCAAAAACAAAGGAACAAACCAAAAACATTCAGCTCACCAGTCATCTCTCATTAACCCAGTCTTTATTTTGGTTTTAATGCTTGTTGTTTTTAATGCTCTTGCTGCTTTTCTTTGCCTCTGTGTATGAACTGTGCTATATAAATAAAGTTACCTTGCCTCAGAAAATCAAAACGACAAAGCAGCACCTTCATGGTGTGGAAGGCGTTGGTGTAGACTTACAATATGTGGCATGTGATGAGTAGTGAGTGTCATTCTTTGATACTCTCCTATTTAATAGACCTGTGTATTTATCATTCGGACATTTGCTGTTGAAGATGAAACTGGCTCGCTGTCCTGTGGAACCCAGGCAGCTCCAAATCGGTCAGCTCTTAATGAGCTAAGAAAAACAACCAGTCAGATAAGAAAAATTCCAAATGATCAAATACAGTTTTTTATTGCTGCTGCCATCAGAGTAGCAGTAGTAGTAGTAGTACTAGATCAGTAAAACTGAGCAATAAAGAGCAATGTTAACATGATTTATTAAAATTTTGTACATTATTTCATAGTTAGTTTCACATATATAAATAACAATATACAATTAAATAGATTTTTTAAAATGCCTACACACTTAAACATGAAGTTTCAACAAGCAACAAGTCTACACAGACACAAGTCCTGTTTTCAATGTGAAGTCACTTCAGTTGCTTCTGGCAAAGTGAGAGCCAGAGCGTGGGGTGGGGGGGGGCTAAAGTAGGTTCAATAAAACAGGGCCACCCCTTTAGTGTAGCGGAATGTGAACGTGAGAACCAGGGGTGAAACCGATGTGGAGTCACATGATAGTTGGCACAGACAACAGAGATGATGGCGATGCTTTACCTTTTAGGTCCCTTGTAAATTACCAGGGCATTTCCATGAAAGGTCACTGCAATTTATCACTACCTATAGGGGAAATTGTTAGCTGCAACTATTAAGTATTATTTTTGAATTTTTTAAGACGTTTCTGAGTTTTGAGAAAGAACTAAGAAACTACGCTGATAAGTGAAAAATGGTGGATCTATAATGTGCTGATACACAGTAGCAGTTTGAGCTGCACTGGAAATTCCTGGTTTTGTGTTTTAAAGTGATGATGATCAAGAAATTAAAATATTATGCTATAAAACTCTGTTGATTCAGCAATCTATATTCACAACCATATTTCCATCTATTGTAGTGACCTGTAAAAAAAAAAAAGTTACTCAGTGTGACACAAAAGAAAGAATGAAACATTTTTGGTTCATGTATTGTGCTACATAATTTCCTCGCTTTTCTTCAACAGTCTTCATCAGTAATTTACAGATAAATACTGCTAATTTAGCTTCCAGGAAACTAGCTGGCAAATACAGGAGCCATATAATAGAGCATTACCAAGACAGGTCATTAACAAGACATTTCACCTCTGACTATGAACAGTTCTAACAGATTCTTAGTCACTTGTGTTGCAGTGGCAGAGCAGTTTGTGTGTGTTTGAGACAGAGGAGTCAGAGTGTTGGCAGTGAAAGGTGATCTCAGGTTCTTTGCTGGACGGGGCGTCACAAGGTCCACCAGCCAGGAAGGAAAGGTTTGTTGTGCATACTGACATAGACGCTGTAGGGCAACAGACACACTTGTACTTCTGTCTTTGTAAGGACACCCATTGAAATAATGCATTCCCTAGCCCCTGACCCTAACCTTAACCATCAGAACTAAATGCCTTACCCCAACCCTAATACCAACCCTAGTTCTAGCCTGAACCCTAAAACCAAGTCTTAACCTTCAAATAAGGTGTTTCACAAAGTGAGGACCAGCCAAAATGTCCTCACTGTGTAGCAAAAAATACTGTTTTGGTCCTCATATAGCAAGTACAAGAACACACACCCACAGATGACAGGGGTTGTGCAATGTCCTCTAAACAGTGTGCACAGTCAGGTGGAAATCCCCTGGTCACAGTCCCAGCATTCGAGAGGAGCCAAGTTATTGCTGCTCACCACGTCCAAGTGTCAGTCAGGGGCTGGGTTAGTGCCACCCTGGGTGTTTTTTTGTGTCACAGATGATAAATAAAGCAGGAAGTCCAAAACAAGTGAAGCTGTGTTCATGACCCCACCTCTAAGTAAAGTGGCTCACAACCCAAAACAGGACAAACATGTACTGTACATGTATCAGCACGCTGCTGACCAGAAACCCTGGTCAGCCTGTGTGTTGATCCCCACATGGGGTATGAGACCAGCTGCAGGCATTCACCATGTCACTGAAGGTCACTGCTGGGTGTGTCATCAGAGCACAGCCACAGTGACAGGTCACACGGTGCAGTACCTCCAGCACCTGCTCCCCAAGGGATGCCTCACGGCAGCTGAACATTATGTATAACCATGTTTCCTACTTCAACCTGTACAAAGAAAGTGGGCTAAGGACACATTGTGAGAAGTCGCTGTACCAAGGTCTCTGCAAGTTTCCGAACTTGCAGAACAAATTTGGAGCTTTTGAGTTAAAGAGTGAGTGAGTGTGTGTGTGTGTGTGTGTGTGTGTGTCAGGCACTGGATAGCATTGTCGATGTGAAGATCTGCTGCAGTATTTGGGGGATCTGCTTAGTGTCCATGGCAACGAAGGATCTCCCTGCTGGCAGGGTCCTCTGGAGTCTGAAACAAAGATGAACAGAGATGGGGTTAAACAGAGGGACTGAACTGTAGCAAGAGAATCACTTCCCAAAGCAAAAAGACAGACAGCGACTTGTTTGCTATGTGAATGAGAAACAGTGCAGTGTGTGTCCTTCACATATGGAGCAACAAGGCATCACGGCTATTTCCACTGTGTTTCAGTCCTTTGTATAAACCCACTAACTCTGATCGCACTCACTTTTCTGTTCTTTCATCCTCCACTTGCTAATGCAGTCCTCATTAAGCATGGACAGCTAACAGCCATACAAACAGCTACTGTACGTGACTAACTCCCCGTGCCTGCATGCTTCAATGATATGTGAACTTATTATTCTCATTCTTCTGTCTCCACGGTCTGACCTGAACCTCTTTTGCATTCTGACTCATTTTTACCTGAACTCAGCCTCTGGAGTTAATGAGTAATTCCTGAGAGCTGCTTTCAAGGGTCAGTGCTCTCTTTCATTTGTGCTCACTCTCCCAGCGTCTCATCAACAGGAAGCAAAGCAAAACAGGTCATTGTCATTCTGCAGGTCCTTCAGCTCATGACTGCATTTGAACCAAGAGGCTATTCAAACGCTCATGCAAGACCAACGAGCCACAGCAGAGAGGATGTAGGTATATGGGGCCAAGAGCAATGGTAGGAACCTGCAGCAGAATGGCAACAGGAAGGAGGAGCAGACTGAGGAGCACACTTGCCCCCCTTTTGTCCTGCCTGCAAAACTCAGGAGTTAATGAGGGATGTGGCAACAAAGGTCAGCAGGACAAACACAAACGGCCCCAACTAGACTGAATTAGAAGGTCGCTGTTCTACTTAGCGTTGAAGTCTAGCTGTTCTTTCTTGGTGTCAGATGACTGGCTACAGTCGATATTAACTCTGAGTCGAGTAATTTTTTTTGCATGGATTCCATCTTCTCCTTGTACCCATCTAGTCCTCTCCTCCTCTTTCATTACTTACTCTTCTTCCCTTGACTTTCTCTCTCCTCTCTCTGGCATCTTCACCTACTTCTCTTCATCCTTGTCCTTCTATAGCTTTTCTGCTCGTTCACCTGTATCTTTTATATCCTTCTTTGCGTTTCCTCAGCTTCACATTCTATTTAACCCCCACTAAGATGCCCCCATCTCCACTTCCGCCTCCTCACCTTTCGGCCTGATCGCCAAGGGAACCAATGAAGATGGCGAAGGCGTTGACCTGCGGGTCAGAGGTCAGGACCTGGGCAAAGCGCTCAGGCTGGATGCCATAGCGTTCCAGATTGGCATCGCTAAGCACCACCACAAAGTGCTCGTCAGCCTCTTCTTTTGCCAGCTCCCTGATGCTGGCCTCCGTGCCCTCCAGAGTGTAGTCACCGCTCATGCAGAACTGAGAGTGGGCATGCATGGTCTGCAGGGTGGGGGAGGAGAAGGCGGGATAAATGAGAATGGGTTCATTTATATAGGACTGTTTAGTGGAAAGGTTCAGCTGAGGAATCAGCTGATTTGGCACCGCACTCAAACACAGTATGAGACTGTACCTTGAGCACTTTGAGTCTCTGTTTGTTGTTCTTGGGGACCTTGTCTGTTCGGACCAGCTCAATATCGTAGCCGTCACCTGAGTGGCCCACGATGTCGTACTGTGTGGAGAAACTGTTGTAGTCAGAGAAAATTTGGTACCAAGATAAAATCTCTGATTTATGGCAACAATGACAATATCTGAACTGTCACACGACCAACACCCTCACAGACCGGTAAGAATAAACATGGAGGAGAGTGACAACAGCGACGGGGTCAGGGGAGGGACCAGGATGCTTCACGTGTTGGACATTTAGCTTCTGATCAGGAAGGAACATATCATAACCCTGCAGTTTGGGAAGAAACTGAGCCAGTTGACCGTTGCACACACGACCTGGTTGCTATTCTTGTGCGCATGTGGCTCTTATTTCAGTTACATCTGTGCATTTGTGGCAGTTTAGGAGCTCAGCAGCGTTCACACCAGAGCCAGGCACACGGCCCTGACACACACGGATGTGAAGCAGCAACACAAAAAGATCAGATCTGACTGAAACATCAAAGCTGAAGATTAAGTCCTGAGATGTGAACGCAGCCTTCGTTCCCAAGGGTGCTGTACCACAGTAAGTTCAAGTCCACATTACGTCTACACAACACATGCTATACATCACCTGATACAGTGAACAAAAACAGTACAGATGGGCTGAGGTGCTACAGTGAAAACTGTATCACGTAAGATGATGTTTGAAGTGACAACCTCACCTTGAACTTGTGCTCGTAGTTCTCCAGAGCCTCCATGACCATGCACACAGCCTCCATGGAGCGCTCCAGCCTACCATCCACGCCGTTGAAGCGGTACATGCTGCCTGACACATCAGTTAACACACGGAGACGCTTGGGCTTCTGCTGAGGACTGCCCAGCTGTGAGCGCACAGCGTGTCATACACACAAAACATTCAAGAAACATCAACAGTAACTAATGATTAAATTAAAGAAAATACTTATGCTGGACAGTGTATTGATGAATTTGGTGCAGCTTACTTAAAATAGCACAAAACAAGGTTTGGATTTCAGAACTGGGGGCAATAATTTCAATGTAGGCGAGACCAAAAATACTGTATGTAACAGGTGGAGCTAAATAAGGCAGAAAAACATGACACATTATAGTTCATGTGTGTTTGTATGACTTGTGTATGAACTGTCTCGCAGCTGTGCGTGTGGAGGTTTATTTGAGAACACGTGACAGCGGCAGAACTGACTAGAGACTGTGTGTGAGCTTGAGCAGAAACACAGGGTGTAGTAACGATCTCACACATCACCACTGGAATGTACCGTCTGACGGATAAAGGTCAAAATGTGTGTGTGCTTGGAGGTGTGACTTGGGGACAAACACATTTAAGCGTGGTTTAAATATCAGCAGCAACACACACCTCTGGGTTGAGCTCCCCTCTGCGTTTGTATATCGTCTTCTCTCCAGTCAGTCCATCAATGATTTTAGCGTCATCTAGTTCTCCCAGAGCCTGGTTCTTCAGCCACTGTCGCTCCTTCCCTTTAGCCTGAAAAAACACACAAACACACAGTTTCTAACCAATCAACCCAATAAATAAACACATTTCAAAATCTGTCTGGGGATTTCATTTTGGTGGGACTTTCAGAGGTACAACAATTTGAAACAGCAACAAAAAAAAAAAAAAAATCCAGACAGCCGTGACACATTTCTGCCCACCAACACACACTGAACAAAAGAAGCAGGAGGCCGGGGTCACTCTGAAGCGTTGACGTCTTGGTTGACAAGGCTCTGCCATTTGAGGAAACTCTCAGTGAACACAAGCAGCGATGAGCAAAGATGAAATAGAAAGGAGGGTGGGGGAGGTGATCACGGTAACAAAGCCAGGTTTTAATGTCTGTGATGTAGCTACACAGCAGTGAATGTAAACACACTGCAGATAGCTAATCAACTTGGCTGCTATGCTTCATTTCCTAGGATGCCACTCCACTTCCTGTTGTGGTCATGTGGAGGGAAGGGACAGAGAGGAAGAGCAACGTCTCCTCTCTGGTCTTCAGGTCACTCCCTGAGGAAGCTGAGCTCCGTTACAGAAAAGATGTCTAACAAAAGGAGGAACACAATCTGCAGCTCCCCGCCCACGCTGGTTCACACACTCAGTCTTTACAAAGGTCTAGAGTGATGATATTTAGTTATATAACACTTGAGGTGTGTACACACGAAAGAACACAGATTGGCCACCAGGTAATATACAGCACGGTCTCATGAGTTCACATTACTGATAAGCACTGACAGAGTCACCACTACTTTGTAATGAGTGGTAGTGAATATAAGTCACAGGTGGCACAGAGCTAAACAGGGCCCTGGACTCTTTATGAAATGTCTCAGATTCCCTCCCAAGAGCTGTGCTTGAGGTTTAACTACGATTTAAAAACACTATATGCTGTGTACTGCAGTTTTTCTTACAGCTGCAATAAGTATTACACAAAGGAAACAAGTAATACAATACATACACAACACTGTACACCGCCAAAATAATAATTCAGTTAAATCTTTAAACACTCGTCTTCAAACTATGCTGTAAGAAGAAAATGACTGAGAACTATTAGTCCATGAATCAGTGAATCAAAATCAATAAATGGACAACAGTTAAGATTAATAAAATGCAGTAAAAATACAAACCATTCTCTTAACTCCTGGTTGTCACTTCTGAGGATTTGTTGCCTTTATCTGTATGCAGTTCATTAAAAATTAACGACAATTGAAATAATAGTTAGTTCAGCTCTAATATAATTTAAATGAAAGTTCAACCTATCAGCATGGTATTATCTTGGTCAGCCCTGTCCAATCACAGTGCCTGAAACTGAACCATTAGGCCTTATACAACATCTGTGCATGTGAGGTGTTGCAAGACTGATCAAAGGGCGAGTTATTATTGTTATTCATAGTAGTAGTAGTACTATATACAGATGTGTATGATTCAAACCTTTAGTGTTGTAAAGCTGCACTGAAGTTACAAGGCCCCGTGTTTCTGTGGAGACGGCCTACACTATGTTCTACCGTTTGATGGAAGAACTGCATCCTGCACAAGGTCAGTCACATTAATTATTCAATTTTTTAATAAGCTCGCTGTCAATCAACATCACCAAAGCATGCCTCTCTCCACAGGATATCTCTGCATGAGCACCACACTACTGGACCTCCCTAAATACTGGCAAAGATGTGAGAGATTTTCCGGTTAATAAAGCTGCTTTTATTTCTGCAGAACAAAAAGTGTGAGTGAATATGCCTCTGTCAATTTGTGTCCAGTGAGGGCCGACTTCCTCCTCTGAGATGCTTAGTAAATACAGGCCCAGGTGTTTATATTGGCACGCTAGTCCAGTGTTGAGAGGGGCTTTCCTCAGGGAGACTGAAGCTGATGGAAACAATGCACTCAGTTAAATGAATGCTTGCCAACTATGGTTAGCTGTGCGTGTAGGAGAGACTCCTTAAATCACTCTGCAGGTAAGACAAAAATAACATGACCTCACAATGTGCAGCCTGCTGGGATCGCCACCGTCTTTACAGTGAGAGAGAGAAGCCCAGGGATATGAGAACAAATGCAAACAATAACTTTAAAGCCAGTACGGGCATGGCTGCAAACATCTGGGTGGGAAACTCCCACCCACCACCAACATACACAAACAATGCTTCACACGTGGACAGGAGAATAATAGAGCAAGCTTGGAGTCACTGCTCTATAATCACTGCTGCATGATTTTGCTCTCGTCACATGCACGTCAGCACACACATGCACCAAAGCCACTTGAATGCATCGACGCACATTTCCCCTAAGACGCTCAGACAAAGGGAGGAAAGTCTAAACCCAAATAAAGAAATGGAGACAGTATCACATCCTGGATGTTTAACCACCACTCCCTGCACTCTGGCTTTTCATTCCCCCAGCCAATCAGAGTGCTGCTGGGGCTACTGACCCCTCCTTCATGCCCCAACATCATGTGTACAGGTCATGTATGAGGTCAACCAATTGTCATCTGCTGACTTTCTGACCTCCTGACCTTTCTTTTACTAACCACAGTGCCTCCTGTCTGTTTGTAGAGGCTGGATCATGTTTAAACTGTTCAACCACAATGAAGAGAAGCAGAGTGTCACAGTTTGGACCTTTGCTTCCTGTTTTTTTGTTGCTTTCTCCACAGATTCCCTGTCTCCCCTGCCACGTCAGCTCAATCAGTATTCATTGTATCCACCTGTGTCTAGTTATCTCTGGTCTACAGCCCCATATATACACCCTCTCCCCATTCATCACCCTCACGTTACCCGATTCTCCAGCTCTCCGTTCTGACTCTGCGCTCTCCAGTTCACCATCCCCATCAGCACTCTTCAGCTCCCAGCTCTGGCTCTCTGTTACCCGGCCCTGCACTCTTGAGCTCTGCACTTCCTGCCTTCGTCCCCAGTTCCACGCTGT